TATATATGTTTATGTATATGTGTACATGTGCATTGGTGTATGTACATTGTTATATATCACGTGTATAGTGTTTTTTGTTTTTCTTTTATCTTTCTTTATTCTTCTCAGCCTCTCCTGTATTGAGCTGCAGTCATGTGCAAATTTCCCCAATATGGGATCAATAAAGTTTAATCTTATCTTATCTTATCTTATCTAATCTTATCTAAACAAATAGGCACAAACATTGTGTGATGTGTGGTGCTCAGAGTATGTGTTGGAGACATTGCTCAGCTACTACCACGCCAAGGTTTAGCTCTCTCCCTGCAACACTGAGTGAGTTATTGTAATTTTTGTGTTGGGTAAGACTGCTTTGCTATGGCAGTTATCTTGAATGGAGTGACTCCTTATGTGCATGAGTTGTAGACGAGCATCCATTGATTGCATTCAAAATGAAGACAAAAGAACTCAAAAACTCGTTAAAACGGTATTGCTCCTCCGTCACCTTCAGCTGCAGGTGATAAGCGGAGGGAAGGAATGAAATGTGGCCCTGATGTTAGAGTTAATAGTGCCAACAAGGCGTACAGTATATGTTTATTTGTATGGTTGGAGCATACAGATACTCTGCACGCTTTTTGTAACTGAGAGGCTGAAGAGGAAGACGAGCAGGAGAATGACACACAGACCCAAAGATGGGGCCGGACCCTCTGGCTATATCCCTGATTCACTAATGTGCCTTGACCTAAAAACAACAAAGCTAACGACGTTTTAACTCATGTTGTGCACAGCAGCAGCAGCAGCAGCAGCAGCAGCGGTCCGTTGGGCTTTCCCCAGAGGATGCCGGGCGCGAGAAGAATCGACACAATGTCTGGCGTGAGCAGCGCCGAGTGAAGCGCAGGGAGGCAGCGAGTCACGAGAGGCACGCAGCACGCCAAGTCAAGTGGATAAAGTACACAGATGACCGATCCACTCTGCTGTGCAGAATCAGGCCTCCTCACTCCTGGCCAATGCACAACAGCAACACGAAGCACCGTCAGAAGAGTTGAACGCCCTCCCAAACTAAATCCACTGACTAATTCAGAAACAGAAGCTCACAGAGGAGACAACACTGTGGATTTGGAGAGTTTCTTTACCTCGCCTGATATCTTCATTGCATGTTGCTAAAGGCAAATGGGCAATAACACGCCTGTGTCTAGATAAGTATGTTTCTTTGTCTGTTAGCAAACTAGCTCATCACCTACTGAACTAATTTTAACAAAACTACCAAAAAGCAGTGGTGGGCACCAGCCCGCTAAAGCGCAAATCCGCTAATCACGGGCCTAAATATTCTGTTTACGCTTTAGCGGTTTTACTAATTTTTATAATTCATAAGCGGATTTGCGCTTTCTAAAATTGAATTGCAGTACTGCTAATAACTAATTATCTACCAGTCATCATTGTGTTGAACAGAAGAGATCAGAGGTGCACCGATCGCAGTTTTCAGCTCGACCTTTAAAACGTCTGACCTACTGATTCTGATTTGACCGATACAGATCTTCTGATTAGCTGACACTGTCAAATGTTCCAATCTTACTTTATGAAAAAACATTAAACAATACCCTTGAAACAATGCAAACTTGTATTAAAGGGCCAATATTACATGTTTCTCATATACATTTAAATACTATACCATAATAAAGTATCTATGTCACCTTTAGTTGTTATTAAAATGCTGTTTTTATGTTTAAATAGACCCGTCCCAGGGGCGTTTCTGGTCCCAAAAGACGTTTCTGGTCCCCACCTGTCGTTTTGCTCCTCAGCATGGCTTCATAAAAATGCTGAGGATTTCTCAAACATGCATGAATGAGTCAGAGCAAGGCTTTGGACATGTTTTTATGAGAGTATAACATTATAACATGATATAAAACTAAAAAAAGTTGATTATACATGACATTGCCCCTTTAACTGGACATTAGGTAGCGCTCACAGCAGAGCAAAAGGCTGATTTTCAGAAATTTGTGGAGGTAGACGAGTAGACAATCTTTTCTACTGAACTTATCCAAGTATTGGGCGATCTTCAATCTCCCAAAATTAACAAAACTGGTGTGTGGCATGCATTCCTTTAAAGAATACTCTGCCTTCAATATCATCACCTTCCTAAAATTAATGCCCAAGTCATTTTTTTGGCAAAATCAACTTTCCTGCATAAATCACATCCATCATGGTGTTGACCACCTATATCCTTAGTCGATTAAATCAACTGATTCAACCCAAGATAATGGCCTATGTGTTGAGCAAAGTGTTTTTGTGTTTCCTGAAAAACGTGAAAGAAATGACTGAGGTGATTAGTATCGATACGTCACTGCAGCAGTTGCTGGTGTGATCAAGCCAAGGCAGCAAAAATGTTCCCAGAAGCAGAAAGACTGGAAAATCTACGTAGGTCCGAAGCGGAGCAGGAACTCTCTGCCGTTAGCATCCCGTGATTGCATCTGACAATATTTACACAAAGGGCCTCCAAACCGCACACAAGAATCTTCCTCAGATCTGGACGGACATTAGGAAGTGTTTAAACGACTGCCAAACAAACGGACGGCTGTGTTTACACAGCAGAAGATGTTTCCTTTTTTCCCCTCACGGTGAGGAAAACACGCAGTCACGCATGAGCAGGAAATGTTTTTTTTAAATTGTATGTGCTTCACATGGCACTGGGAGGGTTGCGTGTCTGGCTCACTGCCAGTTGACAGCTCAGCTGGATATCGTTGAACAGTCCGAACCACCCCCCCGCCTCGCAGCGTGTCACTCTGGGATTGTTTCCGCAAAAGAAAATTTATTCAACCTCTCTCTCTGTGTCTGAGTCCGGCCATTCGTTCAGCCACTTCGTCAGACCAGACGGAGCTGATTTTTGTGACAGGGCCGGAGCTGCTGTGCAAACTCTAATGAACAGCTTGATACGAGAGGAATTTTCAGACCACTCCCCCCACTCTGCACTACCTCAATTAATACTGCTGTCCAAACAAATGAAGGCCACGATTCGCCAGACAGAGTGTTTGGACACGGGGGTCACCGTTTGTGTACACACAAACACAGCAGAGGTGAGGCCTTTGTGTCTGTGACCTGACGTAAAGTAGCACAAGCAGCGCAGGGACTGCAGAGGTCAGGTTTCTAACCGGGTCCACCGCTTCACATCCAGCAGGTTGCACTGATTTGTGTTAGCAAAACAGCTGCAAGCGCAGAAGTAAGGATTCTGAGCTCGAGTCTGAATAACTGACAGCCAATTTATGTTTGTGTAAAAACAACAAAAAAAAGAAAAAAAAAGAAAAAGAGGATAGGGTTCCCTCGAGTATTGTGGCACGGTAACGTTTAGACGAGTCATTGTTGAGCTCTGACCTCGACATAAAGTTGGTTCCGCTGGTTTAATCTGCAAACACAGCAAAGCCCCCCGTGTGTCACATGCTAACTGGAATGCCAAGCCGGCCTAAATTTACAGCAGCTTACGATGATTGGCTCTGATGGCCTCTCGCACTCCTAATAGAGCCATCAGACAGGAATCACACAAACCCACAGATCAGAATGAAACAAACAGGACCAGTGCTCCTTACCTGGCCTATCCTTGCCCGTTCCTTTACTCTCAGACAGTTTCTGTATCAAACTATCCACCGACGTGTTCTCGATGTTCCTCACAAACTCACTGTGGACCTGCAGAGGTAAAAAATAACATGAGCACTCAGGAGAAAACAAGTTTTATTTACAGATTTAGAACCCACCTCTGTTGATCTGATTAACCAACAGGTTCATCTCTGACACAGACGGTTGTAAAGGCACCATGTATGAGCATTACTTCTCAGCTACTTCTGTGTTATTTTAGCCTTTTCTATAAGCATGTTTCACTCATTCAGGAGAAGGGTGCTTCTTTTTTGGTTTTTATAACTGAAAGAAAATGTATTCTGATTAACACTGATATGTAAATACACATCCTTGTTTTTTATAGATATATCCAGACTAATGTTGATAATCAAATGAGTAATAATTAGGGCTGTGAAATTAATCGAGTTAACTCTGATTAATTTTAGTGCTGCATGGACATGACTAAAAATTTTAATCACGATTAAAATTTACAATCATTACTATAGCTCAGGGGTGCCCAAACATTTTCTCCAAGGGGGCCAAAATGAAAATCTATCCAGGGCAGCGGGCCAAATACAGTAATATTATACATGAAATACAAATACTTTTTAAAGTAAAGTCCTTTATTTTTAATGATTAAGCTGTGCAATGGCCCTCTTTTGTTTTAGTCTGTGCACTTGGTTAAAG